CTTCACTTCACATCTTGGTTGATTGGATTTCATCATGGTGGTTTTTTGTTTTTGTTTTTTAAAAGTTTTCAAGAATGTCTCTCAGTTTGTGGCTCAACTTTGTGCAACACTTTGGAGTATGCATTCTCTCCCCGTGCTGCTGACTGTGTCTTTCGACCCTTCTTTCAAATTTTCTTTTGCCTTTTCACTTTCTCTTTTTTATTGAGATACAGTTCACATGCCATAAAATTCACCTTCTTAAAGTGTACAGTTAAATGACTTTTAGTATATTTAAAGTTGTACCACCATCATCACTGTCTCATTTCAGAATATTTTTATCACCCAATGAAACCCTACACCCATTTTTTCCTCCTCCCAGCCTCTGGTAACCATGAATCTACTTTGTTTATTGCTTTGCCTATCTGGACATTTCATATAAATGGAATCACACAGTATGTGGCCTTTTTTTCTTGCTTCTGTCATTTAGCATAATGCTTTCAAAGTTCACCCATAGTTGTGGAATATATCAGTACTTTATTCTTTTTGTGGCTGAATATATTCTCTTGTATGGATATACCACATTGTTTTTTCATTCCTGAGGGACATTTGGATTGTTTACACATTTGACTATTAAGAATAATGTCGCTTTGAACATTTGTCCACAAGGTTTAGTGTAAATGTTTTCATTTCTCTTGCATACATGCTTAGTAGTGGAATTGTGGGTCATATGATAACTGTGTTCAACCTCTTGAAGAACTGCCAAACTTTCTCTTTTATTACTTTTTTTTTGAGTTTATTTTTGAGCTTTCAAGCTTGGTATTTAACCCTGTTCATTTTATTCTTTAAGATCTCCAATTAATTTTTTATTTCAACAGTTGTATTTGAAAGTTTTTGTTCTTTTTCTTGTCCTCTGATTGGTCCTTTTTCCTAGCTGCTAACCTTTGGTAGATAATATACTTTTGAACTTGAGGATAAATATAAGGATTATAAAAATTCTCTTGGGGAATAATTTAGAATTAAATATTATAACTGATATGAAAGGTTAAGCATTAGGGTTATAACAATTGTGTTCTTATCTTGTAAACCTGTAGGTCACTTCTTTTTCATCCTGTTCCTGCTTTTTAATACTGTTGATTTCTCAGATGTCTAGTGGCCTTTGGTTTTTAGTTTGTATTAGGAATAAATGATTTCGTTGATTGGCATAGAAGTTGGCAATACAAGTTTCCTCTATGCTTGTTCAAGTATTTCTTCAGCTGCCTTTTCCTTAAGGAAAGGACTGGTGTGTGTGATTAGGTGAGGCCTGTTGACAGGTTAACTTGTATTTGGGATACCAGCTGGCTGAAGGTCAGGTAGGCAGGCTAGAGGCCTTTGTAATTGCCAGAGTAGGTTTTTCTTTGGAGTGGAGTTGGCTTTCCAGCTGCAGTATGTGGAGGACTCCTCTCCACCACAGTCTCTGCTCCCCACATCCACACCCGTGTTCTGCCCCAAGGAAGGTTGCTCACTGTAGGGATAATTTTCCATGTTAACCCTGAAGGCTAGGGCTGCAGAGTTTATTGTGTGGGGGTGGTGGGGAGGGACATGGAAAGGAGGCAGGTCCTAATTGACTAAGCTGTTCCTTGTGCACTTCTTTAGCTTGACAATTGTCCTGTGGCTGATTCTTGCTTTCTGTTTTATTTTATTCCAAGTCCCTGGAGCTTCCTTGGGAATGTCTGTCCTTACCTTGTGGTTCTTAGGGAATTCTTCTGTTTATCTCTGTCAGTCTAACTTTCTTTGTATGTCATCTAGGATTCAAACATTCTAGTCCACTTTGAGTCTTTTTTTTTCCCAATTGTAATTTAATTACAAGAACTTGTATTTTAGCAGACTCTTGAGAAATCAGAAAGGTAGGCTTCAGTGTTTAGTCTGCTATCATTAAAGAAAGAGAATGTCTCATAAGTTTGGATCTGTGTTATTTACATAATTGTAATTATGGAAGTTTTCATTTGTTATGTGACATATAAGGTATATAGCAGCACTTTAAATGTATGCGTGCTTAGGCTTTTTGGTTTATATTTGCAATTTCTACTTTTATTGCATCACAATGAGTCCTGTACAGTTCTGCCTTTGGGGAATCTGAATTTATCTTTGTGGTCTAATGCAAAAACATTTTTAAAAGTATGCCATGAATGTAGTCATTTAATAATTTGGTAACGATAACTAACTCATTCAGCACATATTAATTGTCAGACATTATGATAATTTATGCACATGGATAATCTCCTTTGATTCTTAGAACAACTTGATGAGTTATTAGTACTACTTATGAGGTAACCAGGAACCAGGCACATGAAAGGTGAGTGATTGCCCCAGGATACTAACTCCCTCACCCCCAGCCAGGGGGCCAAAACTGAGTCCAGGACATCTGATTACAGAGTCATAAACACCATAAACACTCCCATGGAATAAGTGTGGTCACTGTGTGTAGGGTGGAGAGTTTGATATATATGTGCGCTACTTTGACTTTGTAAGTTTTATTAAAGATGCTCGAATTTGTTCATGTATGTATGGATATTCACACACATATTGTTGCCTTCTCTGTGCTTCGGAGAGAAGTAGATTGAATTTTACCACTACTACCGAATTTACTTCTCATGCTTTGTTATTTGGTATATAAAGATTCACCCATTTTATCTTTTGTACATCATACTATTTTTAGTTCCTTTTTAGTTTAAAAGGAATCTTTTTTCATTTAATTGCATTTAATAGCCTTGAATGTGACTTTGAGATTTACATTGGAAATCCTGTTTCATTTTTTTGCCTTGTGCAGCCACTCCTTTCTTACTGATGTGTTTAATTACTTTGTTTTTGATGTTGATACTATGTTTATTCAACAAGCATTTATGGAAGCTGCTTTACTCTGGATACTAAGCTCTGCCTTCAGGGACTGTATGGACTGGTGGGGGAGACAGATAACAAGTAAACAAATGAGTAACTACATTTAAACTTAAATTTACAATCAATTCAAATAAAATAAAACTAAATATTTAGTTCCACACTTGCATCTGTTATATTTTATGTGCTTGGTAGTCACATGTCTAGTGGATACTGTATGGAACAGTGCAGTTATGGAACATTTCTGTCCGCACATGAAGGTTTGTTAGACAGTACTGCTTTAAATGCCATGTGGAGATGTGGGTGGTTCTGAGATACAGTGTCCAGAATCATTGGGGGCACCTAAGTGCTGACATTGAAGGAAAAAAACCTGAATTCTGAGGAGGAACCAGTCTTATGAAGGAGTTATATTATACATGGTATATGGTAGTTGTATTTAGCAATAGGTATATAAACTATTGCTGTTATTATTTTGAATAGCTTATAAAGTAAAATTACAGGGATTTTAGGAAGTGTAATTTCTCTTGTTCTAATAGTTGTTTCTGGTGATATTGGATAAAATATTTAGTTAACATGTTGATATATTTTTAATTTAATTGAATAAAACTAGTAGCCAGTATTTAATTTTATAGATGAAAAAATGTTTCAGTGTTTTATAAGTATTTTGAACCTGTCTTTGGAAAGAGATAAGTTTTGTTTCACATCTTTTAGTTCATTAGTGAATTTTTTAAATAATAAGCATCAGTTTTACAATTGTGAAAAAACTTAAATGTTGACTCTTCTGCCCTCTTAAGTTGCGCGTGTGGAAATTGATGCATAATTGACTTGGTTGTGGTCACACAGCCGAGCAGTGGCAAAGCTGTGACTGGAAACTTTTTCCTGCAGCTCTTGGTTCAATATTCTACAAATATTTTTCAAAATGATCACTTTTTATTTTGTTTTGTTTTGTTTTTTTTTGAGTCAGAGTCTCACTCTGTCGCCCAGACTGGAGTGCAGTGGCACGCTCCTGGCCACCGCAGCCTTGACTTGCTGGGCTCCGGTGATCCTTCCGCCTCAGCCTTCCAAGTAGTTGGAATTACAGGCGCGTGCTGCCGCGCCCAGGTAATTTTTGATTTACTGTAGAGATGAGGTCTTGCCAAGTTGCCCGGGTGGGTCTCGAACCTGTAGGCTCAGGCAATCCACTCACCTTGGCCTCCTAAAGTGCTGGGATTACAGGCTGAGATCGAGCTTTTAAAGTATAATCTTGTTATTCAGAGGTAGGATACTAAGCATACAAATGCCTAGAACTTCTTTAATCTGTATATATTTAGGGACTTGAATGAGTAATTCAAGAAGTGTTGAAATTCATAAGAGCTATTTCTGTGTGTTAGAGTTGTGACAACAGAAACATTTTCCCTGTGGTACTTTTCTGAGTCTGATTTGTTTCCCTCCATGGGTCCCACATAGGTTTATTTTAAAGACCTAAAAAATAAAGACTCTCTGGCTATTGTGCATACTGATTAGCCCAGATAGCATGCAAACATCACTAAATGAGAGTGCAGCTCTCATCAACTCACCATTATTTTCAGTTAAGAAAATTTTATCAAAGCTAATTTTCTGCATGAAATACTTTTCAAATCACACTGAAGTGTTATTTAGTAATTTGCTCATTTTCTGTTGGATACTAAAGAGACACTTCCTTAAAACTAACTAGTGTTTATTAAAATAGAACAATATTTGTAAAACTTATTGTAAAAAATTCTATTAAATTGAATATATCCATATACGTTATTATTTAGATATTATTTACTACTTGTCTAGGAACTCATTGATCTACTAATGAGCTGAACAGAGATGCCTCTGTACTCAAAGATAAAAGCATTAATTACTATTCCTCTTTTCTCTGATTAAGGCCTTTTTCAACCACTACTTGTTTAATTTTGTCACTGTTATGGTGTTGCAGAGGACATTGCCACTGGTGTCCCCCTGTGTGCAGGAGGGAGAGGTTCTCTGGGCTGTATACATGGGGAAGTGTGTGTCTGACCCATCACATTCAATTTTTATTTCACATTCTTATATCTAGTTCTCATCATTGCGTAATGTAACTAGTTGGGTTTGGTTTCCTTGTCCCTGACTCTTCTCTTCACAGCCTATTTTCTCTTCATTTACAGACGGGCCAAGGTTGCTCGGGTGATTGGTTTACTGGCCTCACACACAACTGAGCTCCAGGAAAATACACCGGTTATCGAGGTAATTTCTTCTATTACTGAAATGTCATGAAGGACAAAAAAGACTGTTCCGGTTCTATAATTTAAAACATTCATTGATCTTCACTTAATTTTTCTTTTTGGAATTGTGGTATTCATTATAAAATAATCACCTTAAATCCAGCAGCTCATTTACAATGTGGTCTGTTATTAAAGGTGGTACGGCTGAGTTGATAAGGACTGTTTCATTGCTTGCTTTCTTATATTTATCCAACGTTTTATTATAACAAATGCATTTTCTAGTTAAAGTATATCTCATAATTCAAAGTGCCTTTTGACCTTGAATTTAGTACTTTTTTCTTCACTGGTCATCAGTTATTTCTTGACAACCGATCCAAGTATTTAGTGGCCATGCATGCACTAAAGATATTTTCTAATATTAGTAATTTCTTTCAAGTATTGATGCTGGAAAGAATTTATTATTTAGTTAACCTGTAACTCTGGGTCCTGTGAAGTGAATGCTACCATTGTACTGCCTACTTGAGTGTCCTTGAATACCGGAAAGTACTTCTACCTAGTCTGTTAGTGTATATTGCTCTTAAATAGTAATAGAGTTTTATACTTTGAATCAAAATAGATGAAAAGAAACAAGGCATTTAGAGAAAGAGTAAGAACTCCCGAGAGAAGAACAAAAGGAGTAAAGAGAGGAGTGTTTTTTTTTTTTAGAGCTGAGGCTGATATTGAGAGCTTTAAGAGGAATTGTCTATTTAAGTACTATCCAACAGAACTTTCTGCGTTGATGAAAAATTTTTGCTATCTGTGCTGTTCACTGTAGTAGCCAGTTGCTGGGATAGTATCCCAGCTGGCCGTGGACTGTCTGGGTAGCCGTAATTGGGGGATTAACTTAATCTCACTATATTTCCCTTGCTTAGAGTTGCATTTGTGTTTTCTGCAAACTATTGGATCTCTGAGTTACAAGTAAAAACGTCACTAAGTTTAAACTTCCCCTTTCTTTCTGGGATTAAAAGAAATGAATTGTGACTGATATGATCACTGATGATACCCAGGTTGGCTCCCAGGGTTGTATAAAGTAAATTTTTATATTAAAAAACACTGAGCAGATAGGGCTGTATCACCAGGAGGATGAGAAGGTTTAAGAAATCAAAAATGGGGGTTCCTTCTGATGGCTCAGGGCATAAGGTTTCCAGTGAGACAGAATGGCTGTAGGAGATGGGAAAGAAAGAAAAGTCTAAGACAAAGTCCTAGGATTTTAGAGGATATTCCTGCATAGCCAGAGCAGGCATTCATTGCTGTAGGATAGATTCTTTAGGAAGCTGTTATGAATTTGAAGATCAATTGGATGCATGCTCTTAAGATTCAGGAAAAAAAAAGAGGATAAAAATTATGAACTGACAAGGCATGAATGATTATTCCAGAAGATCTGTTGTACTGTCTAATGTGGTCACCAGCAACCACAAGTGACTGCTGAGCACTGGAAGAGCAGCTCTTCTGAACTGAGATGAGCAACCTGTCTATAAGAATACCATGGTAGGGTAACCCCCTTGGGTCCCTTCCTGCTCTGGGAGCTTTTCTATCCTCTCAAATCCTGCTTTCTCAAAAAAAAAAAAAAAAGAATACCATGGCCACCCCATCACTTCCAAACCCCATTACTCTACTTTATTTTTCATAGCATTTATTACCATCTGACATTTTATGTATTTGTCTTTCTTTCTACACTAGGAATACAAGCTCATCAGAACAGGGAATTTTAACTATTTTGTTCAACACTGCACCCCAGTGCCTAGACAGTGCCTTGTATATAAACAGGTGCTGACAAATATTTGTGAAATAAATGAATAAAAGAGTATTGATGTGCTTGGGACTCCCTGTGGCAATGGCTGGAAGGTGGTATGGTCTGCTGCTGTGGGAATTCTCAAGGGACTGGGCAGAGGACATCTTCAGTGACCTGGGACCTACCAACCCATCTGGGTGTTGTACTCACCCTTGGCTCCATGCTGTGTCCTGGTCCTCCTGGCACTTGCTGTCGCTGCTGCCACTGCTACTTAGCATTTGGCCCAGCAGTTCCTGAACACATTTGTTACTTGTGCTCACTCAGGTTGAGTTCTCTGGCCAGTGAGTGTTCTTAGAGTATTTCTCCTACGTAGTTGCTCTCCCTTTTGTAGACGTTGGATTCCTGATGAAGCCTCCACTGAGAGGGAGGGTGGGTGTTAATCTCTGAGCTCCTTGTATCTTTTATTCCTGCACTGTTCCCTTGCTGAGTGTTTGCTGATGTTTTGGTAGGTTGAAATGTAAGAAATTGAGAGGAAAATCATACTTATTTCATTATTTTAAAAAAGGGGATGGTGTGTACCTAGCTGTTTTGTAAACTGTTTCAAATTCAGCACTCTATTGTGAACTAGATTAGATTGGACAGTGGGGATTTTGCATAATAACTTGAAATTGAGCCAGGTGCTCCTCACCTTTTCATTCTTTAATGCCCGCTTTGAACAGTTGGCTGTCATGCTTTAGGTAGCCACTAGAGGTCACTCCAACACCGAAAAAGAAGTTAGAGAATTTATCACTTAACTTTCAGAAGAAGCAGGATCTGTGAAGGTTCAGAAGATACATGATACAGTGTTTCATCTTTTTTTTTTTTTTAGAAGTTTTTGCTATATGAAATGCAGCTTTATTTCATTGGTGATTGTTACCGTTTGAGGTGAATGAGATTAGTGAAAACAGGGACAGCCTCTCCAGGACAATACAGTGAATGCCTTGTACATGATTTCAGGGGATTTGGAACCTGTGGAGTCCATTGGTGAACCTTAGGTTCAGAATTCTTGAGCTAGGTTTCTGTAAAACTCATGATCAGGCATTTGTAGATAATATTTCAGAAAATCATTAATAAAACTTTAAGTGTGGGACGAATCCTGATTTCTCCAGTATGTTTACTGTTAGTGGATAATAAAATTGTTGTTGAAGATCCTATAAGCATTTTAAAGACATAGAACCTCATCTTGCTATTCACCTTTGTACTTACAGTGTAGAAAAGTAACATTTATGTCAGACACTCAGTCAATGATGAATAATTTAATGAATGATTAAAAGAATGTTAGGAGAGTATGATGGTGTAATTTGTTACAAAGAGAAAGAAGATATGGAGCAAGGAAGTCCATTTTACTCTCCTTATGGTATAATTTAAATCTCTTTCATCTTATTCTTGGTGACTACAGAAAAGAACTGGTCATGATCTCTTCTATGTGGTTAGAAGCATTTATTGACGTTTTTAATTTCCCACAGAAAAATACAGTCATCTGAAGTTTATTTTTCTAGATAACAAGCTACCAGTTTATAATCATTGTGATTCTTAAGTATGATAATTTTAAGAAGTATTTCTGATATTATGCTACATTGCATTTGTGTGTGTTGGAGTCTCACTCTGTCATTAGGCTGGAGTGCAGTGGCACACTTAACGGCTACTGCCTCCTTGACTGGGCTCAGGCAATCTTTCTGCTGCAGCCTTCCAAGTAGCTGGAACTATAGGCACATGGCACCACACCCAGCTAATTTTTTGATTTATTGTAGAGATGAGGTCTCGCCAAGTTGCCCAGGCTGGTCTCGAACCCCCTCGCCAAGTAGCCCAGTCAATACTCTTGTTTCTGCCTCCCAAAGTGCCGGGATTACAGAAATGAGCCACCACGCCTGGCTTATGCTATAAATATTTAGTCTCCAGCATGCAGTGGATATATTTTAGGAAATTGAATACAGATCCATACAATTGTAGAGCTAAAGGGAATATTAGCAGACATTCTAGGTGAACTTGTTCATTAAAAAAATTTTTTTTTTTTGAGTTGGAGTCTCACTCTGTCGCCCAGACTGGAGTGCAGTGGCTGTTCCTGGCCACCGCAGCCTCGACCTGCTGGGCTCCGGCGATCCTTCCGCCTCAGCCTTCCAAGTAGCCAGAATTACAGGCATGCACTACCACGCCCGGCTAATTTTTGATTTATTTTAGAGATGAGGTCTCGCCAAGTTGCCCTGGCGGGTCTCGAACCCGCGGGCTCAGGCAGTCCACTCATCTCAGCCTCCCAAAGGCGCGGGATTACGGGCTGAGCCACGGAGCCCGGCCATTAAAATTTTTTATTACGAAAAGTTTCAACGTATATACAAATAGAGAGACTTGAATAATGAGGCAGCATCACTGACTTCCAGCAATTGCCAACACGTGCCAATCTTGTTTCATCTAGGTCTCCTGCTTTCGTTCCCCCCTTGCTTTTTTTTTTTTTTTTTTGAGTTGGCGTCTCACTCTGTCGCCCAGACTGGAGTGCAGTGGCTACTCCCGGGCACCACAGCCTCGACCTGCTGGGCTCTGGCGATCCTTCCGCCTCAGCCTTCCAAGCAGCTGGAACTACAGGCGCGCGCTACCATGCCCGGCTAATTTTTTGATTTATTGTAGAGATGAGGTCTTGCCAAGTTGCCCAGGCGGGTCTCGAACCCGTTGGCTCAGGCAGTCGACTCATCTCAGCCTCCCAAAGCGTGGGATTGCAGGCTGAGCCAGCGAGCCTGGCTCCCCCTTGCTTTTGCTTGCCCTCCTTCTCTCTCTGTCTCTCTCTCTCTCTCTGTCTGTCTATCTCTCTCTCTCTGGAGTATTTTAAAGAAACTCACTCTGTTCACAAACACATTTTTCTAACAGAAAATGATTTAAAAACATATGACTACAATTCCTTTATCACACCCAACAAATTCAGCACTAGTTTCTGCATATCATCTAACAACCAGTGTTCAGGTTTTCTTGATGGACTCATACACATCACTTTGTAATTTTTCTTTGAGTCAGGATTGAAACAAGGTCCCATATTGTGTTTAGATGATGTGACCCTTAAGTTTCTTTCTTTTTTTTTTTTTTTGAGTCGGAGTCTCACTCTGTCGCCCAGACTGGAGTGCAGTGGCCGCTCCTGGCCACTGCATCCTCGACCTGCTGGTTTCTGGTGATCCTTCCGCCTCAGCCTTCCAAGTAGCTGGAACTACAGGCGTATGTTACCACACCCG